TTCTATGTTTGACTTTATTCAAGCTCCTTGAAATATATCAAAAAATTCAAGGTTTTTACTTTGGATAAGTACTCGTATGCCTAATAAAATGAAATAACTTATGATTATTCGTTTGCCTTGATTGGTCACAAAGAGTTTGTGGAACCTTAGTTATAGGTACAACACTTAAGGCCACAACATTGTCATAAAGTGTAAACAAGTTTATAAATATGTAAAACAGTATTGAATTGTATTGGATAACAAGTATAGAAAATAATAATACAGATTTATTTTCACTAAAGGGAAAATTAAAAATAGAATTTATGATGTACTGGTATATTAGTTGATTCTCCATACCCTCTGTTCTGGACTGTCATATTGCCTATTCAAGACTCTCCAGCACAGCTTGGGTTACCAAACCAAAGAAATATTATAAGGCCTCTTATAATGTTGTTGTGTAAAAAAATATGTGTAATTTTTAAGTCCTATTTGTTTGGAGAAGTTTTTGTCATCATCATGTACAAGTAGTTTATCTAGATATATACAATATGGAACATGACTGGAGATTGCTTTAGGCTTAATAAAAGTATTTTGTTGATGTTTGGTTCTTTGTTTAAATACAATGTTCTTACTTGTTAATAGATATTATATAATTGTATTGAGTTGCAATTTTTGTAAACATGAGCTGTTTTTTTTTCTCTTATCAGTTACATTCACCAAATAAAATACAATTATCATCATATCAGATATGTTTAGTTATGTTTACAGTTTAATGCATATGGTAAGCAACTGCAAAATATTCTGATGACTAAAATCTCTATTGAATGTTAGTGAATGTTCAAAACTATGATCATAAGTAAATTGGTTAACTGGCTATTTAATTTTTTTTAAATTATAATTATGATATTTTTTAAATAAAAATGAAACCAAGACTAATGCAAAAATTACATAAACAAAACTATGTTAATAACATGTTAGAATAATGCAGTGTTTGAGAAAGTTAGAGAGGTAGTACTCACTTGTTTTAATTTGCTGGTAATGAGGGTTGATTGTAGTGATGTGTTCTATTCAAATGATCGGATATAATCGATTAATGAGCATACTGTTTAATCGTTTAGCACATACAACTAAATACTCTGCTTTACTCAGAAGTCATGTATTATTTTATTAATGATATAACTGGCCTCCTTTGGTATAGGTGTATGCTGGCTCTTGCAATAGAAGATTTGAGCCACTAATCAGCAAATTTCTAACTTTTTAATGAAGCCCAG